AGTCCAGGTTTTAATGTCTTCTACATCTGTTGTCTCTGAAATTAGCCATTTCTGTTTAATATTGAAAATCCATTGACAGTAATATTAAGTAGACAAAAAATGAAGTGAGTGTAACAGAGGAATTCACAGGATGTTGGCATTTGTCTTTACCTCTGGATTTTGAACCATGAGTATGTTCTTTTATACTTTAATCAAATATGCAAGCATCTCTAATGCATTTTTCACAGCAAATTTGAAAGTCATAGTAGTAAGATTTTAAAATCATTTTAAGTGTCCACCACATTTGAAAAGTATTATAGCTGAACAATAATATTTAAAAGTCATTTGAAGTGGTTCACAGATGATATTTTATTTACGATAATGTTTAAGTTATAATTAATGGGAATAGTAACTATAAAAATAAAAATAGATCTTAAATTTTATAGAATTTGGAAACTTGCTTTTAAGAGCTATTTAATTATAGCAAAGTTTCTGTTGTATATGTTTTAAACCATACCGTTCGGCACATGAAAGTGCAGTGGTTGTCCTGGTATTGCATAATAAGGGTGCCTTCCCCCAGAAGCAAATTATGGAGCAGGGTGATAAAAGCAAGCCACATTGTCTGTGTTGGGTAGAATATTCTGTTCTCCTAGTACTTTCAAAGCCATTACGGTGATCATATTGATTGTCTGCATTCGTTTATTAGCCACGAGGCAAACGGTGCTTTCACTTATAACTCTACGCAAGGTCTTAAGGTAGTCATACTTGCTCTTTTCTTCACCTGTGAAATGGCTGTGGAGGTACGATTCAATCTTCTTTTGCTGTCCTACTATATCAGGAAAATCAATGAAAAATCTAGAACACATGCAATGTTCCAGGGATGTGATTTCCGCTTCACAAGCTGGCTTGAAGTCGTGAACCAACAAGTTGCTGTACTTCAGAAGGCCACCGCCTCTAATCTCTTCAGGTTTTCTGGTAGGTATAAGCTTGCATTGCAAATGCGTTATTGCTTCTTGGAACGCGCCATACATGCTTTCAACTTCCCACAACAGGATAAGATTCTTGGGAGAGCTTAGCATTTTTGTCACTGTAGATGTCTAACATGGAATCCAAAAGAATTTGAAAGGAATCTACACTGAACTCACACTGTCGTCTGAGCGAATTCACAAACTTCAGCTCTACATTCTTCCCAGTGTCATTTGAAAGAGAGACGAGACTCCAACGATCGTGCTTATTGCAAACTTGGGACCATCTTCTGCATGTCAGCCTCTTTCATAGTCTTTAGGGTGATCTGTTCCTTCTTTACACCTTGTGGTAAAAAGTCAAGTAGACAACCTAGAACTGCATCCTTAACAACCTGGAATTCTTTATTATTTGATAGTTCAACAAGAAAAATAACGTCCAGGTCCTTATAGCTGATTCCATTGTGGCTTGCAAGTATGTAACTTACAGTGGAACCATTCAGTCAGGTATCTATAACAATAATTCTTTGCTCTATCAGTTGATCTTTCACAACATGAATAATACACTTTGGTTTTACCTCCAGTGTGGGGAAATTCCCCCTTCCATGAATTGGAATTACTTCCTCTAGCACTTGATCCAGTATTATAACTTGACCCCAAGTGAGATTGCTGACTCCAATTTCAGACATGGTGTAGTGTTAGTAAGTCAAATAGAAAGCAAGCAAAATGTTGAGAAGAAATGTTATAACACTTGAAATCAGTGTTATACCCAAAGTTATAAAAAAGTTAAAAATAGACTTACCCTCAACACAAATCAAACTAATACTAGGAAGTAAATTATCAATTGTGACTAAATATGTAAGTAAAATAAAATCACTTTGACTAAGTCAAAATTATTAGATTCATTCGTGTATGCAAACAGACATTCTCATGAATTTGTTAGAACTATAATTATTTTTATGTAAAATGGTGGCCTTTCTCAATCTTTATTCATGTAAATACTATAATAATTATAGTATAATTATAGTAGTAAATATTATAGTAGTAAATACTATAATAATTATATTTGGTGTTATAAATTGTGCTCATGAGATAATCATGTCATTGAGGTTTATTGTCATGGATTTAAAGTGAGATCAGGCCTTAGCTGGTTTCTCAGTGGTTAGAGTGTCAGCCATCGAACCAAATGGTTGCAGGTTCAATTCTCAGTTAAAGGCACATGGCTCAGTTGCAGCTTCGATCCCTAGCCCCGGCTGGAGCCCATGCCGGAGGCAACCAATCCATGTGTCTCTCTCACAAAGATGTCTCTCTCTCTCTCTCTCTCTCTCTCTTTCTCTCTCTTGTTCTCCCACCCTTCCACTCTCTCTAGAAATTAATTTATGTGCCCTGACTGGGGATCAAACCCACAACCTTGGGGTTTCAGGATGATGCTCTAACCAACAGAGCTGCCCAGCCAGGACTCTCTAGAAATTAATTTTAAAAAATCCTCAGGTGAGGATAAAATTACATTAAATTTTAAAAAATAAAGTTGAGATCAAGATAGCATGTCTGGCCCAGCTGCTGTGGCTCAGTCGGTTGAGCATTGTCCCTTGAACCAGGAGGTCACAGTTCAATTCCTATCACATGCCCTAGTTGCAGGTTCAGTCCCCAGTAGGGGGTGTGCAGGAGACAGCTGATTAATATTCCACTCTGGTCAATGGTTCTGTCTCTCCCTCTCCCTTCATCCCTCTGAAATTAATAAAATCATTAAAAAAAAAGATGTCTGTGTGTTAGATCCAACTGACTGAATATCAAAATGTTCAAAAGCAATATATATCTTTAATCCAAAAGCATTAGAGAATTCATTATATAAATATGTATGTATATATTGCACAGAAAAATGAAAATGAGAATTTTAAAAAATAGCCTTAAGAAAAAGCCTAATTATGGAAATAAATATGTGATACGCACATTATTATCTATGGTAATAGATTTGTGGCACACACACGAACACATATACACATATAGACATATATGAATACAGAAATATAATGAAATACATTTTGCAATGGAATAGATACGTGATTTATATTGATCTGGAATCTATACACACCTCCAACATGCTCACCTGTATTAACAGATAATTAAGATCTGAGGGTAATCTATGTTTCTTTGGCACATCTGCTATTCCTTTTCACATAATGTACAATATCAATACAATGTTGTAAATACAAATTTCAAATATGGCATTAAAGCAATAAGACTTCATGTGTGGATTATGGCTCAGCATTTAACTGTTATATAGTTCATATAGCAGAATCAAATACTTATATCAAAGACAAAAACATTACAAAATTTATTAGGAAATTTAATTTGAATTGCGAAATCCAAAAGCATGGCTAAATATAAACTGAGGATGACTGTCATATTAACAATGGAAAACCCACAACAAATCCATCCACACTGCTTATGTTTATGTTTGGGTATAGTACAGTTCTGAGTTACTGATAGTGTGTTTATTGAGAATGAAATATAAAGCTATATTTTTATGGACTGAAAGCCCAGATTCAAGGCAGAAATCCTTCAATAATATTCCACATAAACACAAACATCAGCATAAAATCTGAAATCCAAGTTATCCTTCTCCAAATGTGGAGATCAGCAGTAGTTTAGTATTTGGCAGAGCATACACGTCTTGTTCTGACTCTCTGCCTTCTCCCAATTTAGACTTAAGGCTATCACTTTTCCCATCTGGCTCAACCAAAATTACTATACCTGTAATGTATCTGACTAGAGTAAACACTGAAATCGAAACACAGTGGCTTCCATTATTCAATTGGATAAATTCACTAGGAATGCAAGGCAAAGCAAGGGAGTTGCAAGATTTCACAAAGTACTGCAAATAGATGTTTTTATAATAAGTTATAATTGTTCTCCCTGCTATCATCTTGTGATCCTTCTGACTATGGGAGGAGAAGAAAAAGTTAGCAACTGTTTTCATATTTGTATTAATATTAGAGTGATATTTTCAAAGAGAATGAGAAAGATTTAAAATTTACATTGGAGGAATTATTTTCAAGGTTGTAATGTAGTTGAAATAATGAGATAATTCAGTAAATCCTTCAGTGACAATAGGAATCTTCTTATCACTAAATAAAGTAATGAATCAGGAAAACTGCAGCAAGCAAAAAAGCAACAATAGAGTTCTTTGATAAATATCATATACAAATATACAAGTAATATGACGACCCCTGGCCAGTAGTCCTACAAATTATACAGAGGGAGAGAGGGATGGAGGGAAAAGGGGAGGACGTAAGGGAAAAGTAAGGGAAGAGGAGGGAAGGAGAAAGAGAGGGAGAAGGAGAGGGAGAGAGAGAGAGAGAGAGAGAGAGAGAGCCTGTAAACATAGATTTTTGAGTCCTGCTTCCAGAATTTCTCATTCAGGTAAGCGGTAGGCTTGAATATTTGCATTTATACCAACTTGCCAGGTGATGCTGATGATGCTGGTTAGGGACCACTATTCTACCCCGGCCAGTGTGGTTTAGTGGTTGAGCATCAACCTATGAACTAGGAGGTTATGGTTTGATTCCCTGTCAGGGTACACGCCTAGTTGCTGGCTTTGAGGGCTTGGTCCCTGGTAGAGAGTGTGCAGGAGGCAGCTGATCAATGATTCTCTCTCAGCATTGATGTTTCTCTCTCTCTCTCTCTCTCTCTCTCTCCTCTCTCTCTCTCTCTCCCTCTCCCTTGCTCTCTGAAATCAATAAAAATATTTTTAATTAAAAAAAGAACCACTACTCTAGAAAAAAACTGAAAAACAATATTTGCATGTATACCAACTTCCCATGTATGCTGCTGCCGCTGCTTAGGGAACCCCACTTTAAGAACCACTGCTCTAAAAATAACAACAGCAGCAACAACAAAAATAACCCAAAAGCTGAAAAAGAAAAAGCCCAAATAGCCATACCCGGTCCCTCTTAATTTGGCTATGTCTATTTTATTTAAAGCATTACATTGAATATTGTAGATAATTATAATCGAAGTGAATGTTTTTTCTTTACATTTTAATAATCCAGCATTATTTTCTCAACTAAAAATTAAAGCTAAGAGAAAGTCTATAAAATTTGTATCAGGACTCAAAAAGACAAGTCTAACTAGACATCATAAATGATTGTACATATAGATAGATACACATATACCTACATTTAAGATAGACAAAAACAGGCTTTGATCACAACGTATTTCTCTAACTCTAAATTCAACAATACATAAACATTCATGTGGAAGCGACACATCGATTAGTGGCCTCCTGCAGAGAAATCTTATCACTTTCTTCCCATTCTGCTCCAGCGCCCACACTTACACTGTCTTGTGTGTGCGTGTGCTTTTCTCTGTGTTGCTGCGATATTGCTTGTTGGTTTTAAGCGCTGAAAGTGTGCACTGTTCTGAGGAAATCGTCTTCCAACTCTTCAGTGCAGTCCAGTCCCTTCCAGGGAAATGCGAGAGCTCCTGGCAGCACCGCCCCTTCCGTGGCTGGTGGGGGTCGGTAGCTACCAGAGCTCAACAGCCACCACGTCCGGCTTCTCTTGCTTCTGACGCGCCTCATGCACAGAGCTGCTGCTGCTCCCAACTGCAACCAACCCCAGAGAGGGGAGCTGGCCGAGAGAACTCTGGGTCCCTTTGGAGGGAGCGGCGGGGTGGAACATCCTGGAGAAGACTCGGGAGTGCGGGAAGCTTCTGGGCAAGCCGGGAGCTAAACGGCCTCGTGAGACCACAGCCCCGTCCCCTCTGCACTGGACCCTGCTCCGCGCGCCAGGACTCTCACAGTAAACTCAGCGAATAGGGGAGCATTCCCACGTCATTCCAGAACTCGTATCCGTCGGTGGATGACCCTGGCAACACTCAAGGGATCAAGTATTTTCTGGAGGCTGAAGAGGACTTTGGAATTATAGTCAACAGCACATGCAACTTTCACAGGGTTCATGAACAATATTGGAAGAGGCAGAAAAGTAGGAACTCACCAGAATGCTCCAGGAAACGCCTCGGCTTTCAAATATTTATATAGTTGTTAGCTTCTCCCCTCACTGAACCCCGTCAGCCATAAGAATGCACTTTATGAACCGCTGCTCTCTTCCAGTCCGTCTGGGAAGGAGCAACCTGGAAGGGGGCTGGGGGTGTCGCTAGAGGGGGCTCTGGAGGGAGCCTGTGGCAGGCACACAGGAAAAGGGGAGGTGGTCAGAGACAGTCAGGGAGAAACGTGTGTACATTAAAACAGCCTGGTACTAGCATAACAACAGGCATATAGATCAATGGGACCGAACAGAGAGCCCAGGAATCAACACACACCTTGATGGTCAGTTGATATTTGACAAAGGAGGCAAGAGCATGCAATGGAGTAAAGATAGTCTCTTCAATAAATGGTGTTGGGAAAATTGGACAGATACATGCAAAACATGAAGCCAAACCAAGAACGTATACCATACAGAAGAATAAATTAAAAACGGATAAAAACCTTAAATATGAGTCATAAAACCGTATGCTTATATGTCTCCTATGGCAAGGGAAATAAAGGGAAAGATAAACAAATGGGACTACATCGAACTGAAAAGCTCTGCACAATCAAAGAAACCATCAACACAATGAAAAGGGAAGGACACTGTATGGGAGAACATATTCACCATCGATTCATCTGACAAGGGGTAACTCTCCAAAATATGAAAACAACTTATACAGCTCATCAAAAGAAGATAAATAATCCAATTTAAAAATGGGCAAAGGG